CAGGGGGCGTTGTCTGCTCCCCCCTATCCCCCCCCCAAGCCCTTTCCCTCCCCCTCCCTTTTCACTGCAACAGGCTTACCAGCTTCATGCAGCTTTCCACACTGTTGGGCTGTGCTCCTTGCTGCCTGCACATTGTGCTGCAGTGCACAGGCATTTATGGGCCACATTATTGGCCACAACAGGCCAGTTTCCTGTATAGTCAATTTGCTTTATATCAGTGCTGATCTGATATCAGACTGGTGCATAAGTGCACCTCTACACAAGACACTGTATTATATATAGTGGCCCGTGAAATTTAACCTCCATCACTGCCGCCCTGTACCTGACTTGCCCGAGGTCTTCATTCACAGTGTGTACAAAAACCTCTCTTGACCAGAAAGTTGCTGAGGCACAGATTAAGAGAACTTGTGAACCAAACAGATATGTAATAAGCTTTAATGCCTGCTTGTGATAACAACTTACTGTGTGGTCTTTGGCAACTCCCTTAACCTCCCTGCTTACTACCAACCTATGTTACATAACCTTTAAGGTATAAAACCCATCCTATGTGGAGATGAAGAGATCAACTGCGATTTAAAACTGGTCTTGGACATTCAAACTGTCTGCGATCTCCAGGTTACATTCCATGCACATCTAAGGACCCTGGTTCTGAGCTGGGCAATTTAAGCAGTTTCACTTCATGCTGCTATTAATACAAATAAGACTTGTACCTTTAACACTTTCTTAATGCCGTTGATGGTCAAGGTGAGCAAGGAATGCACTTTTTGGTCATCGTTGATGTAGTCTGCATGTCTGATGCACATGTAGAGGATGTAAGCAGGAAGACAGGGAACTGTGGCAGAAACGGTCTGGGGCTTGAGATCTACAAATAAGGAAATAAGAATCCTCTTACAGCCTGACTTTGTTAGTGGAACAGAACAGGCAACACCGAGAAGAAGTGTCCGAATCAGCATATATTCCACACACATCTGGAGAAGTTCAGATATGAACTCTCCAGCTCAAGCTTATCTCAAGCTAGGTCTCTACTGCAATGGCAGGCTCAACCAGAGCGCAGGCAGAGGTACCCAAGCCAGTTCTAGTCTAGGTGGCTCAAGCACTAGGTAGCAGGGAAACTGTCTGCACAGGCTCTCAGACTGAGCAACCTGGAGAGATTGAGCAGCTTGCGTGCAAGCCCACACTACCACATCATCACTGCCATTGCCGCACCAGCTGGCTAGATGAAAGCTAGGGCAGGTCTTCCACACCTCCAACTGCAATGCAGACATAACCTTAGAAAAATACCAGAAAAGTCTTTGGAAATACTTGGGACAAGTTATACTACTGCTGCATAAACTCCAGGACCAGTGCTTTGTACATCTACTCTCTCTCAAAACAGTGAATCAAGATTATACCCTTTAAACTGTTCAGCATGAAAGCAGAGGTTGCCCGAATAACAACTTTACGTATAAATTGCTGTGTGCTTTTTGCTTACTTTTTAGAGTTGTTAGAATCACTCATAATCAGGGGGACCATAAGCGCTAGCTGGACACAAACCTAAGCACAGTGGAGGTGAGAAGGCCAGCCGCAGCTCCAACCAAAGCTTGCAGCATAAATAACAGGTCTGAGACTGCTCGTTGCAGAGACCTGAGACTACTACAGCAAACTGTTTTTATGTCACTCATCTGCAAAAAGCTGAAGATCTGTACTGCAATACTACCTGTTTGTATGTCAACCTATCCCAAGAAGACTGATTGTTATTGCCCAATTTAAGACATACAGCTTCATATTAGCACTCTCAGTACTTTGTCATCCTTGAGTAAGAATTATATCTAAGAATAAAAGAATGACAACCCATCAGGGCAAACTGATCCCTGGTGCAACTCCACTGAACTCAAATCAGTTTGCTGTCAAGGCATGACTTTTACTAACAGATTTAGGAAATGAGATAAATGCCACTGAATTGAAGGCACACTACTGAGAGGGAAGAGAGCACACAAAGGGGGTGTTTCTGTGGGCTGAATGGATAAGGAGGTTGCAGCTATGATCCAATTAAAAGTTCTTGCTATTTGCTTTCTCTCCTTTTCCTTCAGGGACCAATGCTGCAACGTTTGGAGCACCCCTGCAAGTGCTTTGAACACTCACAACTAGGGGATAGCTTCAAAATTAGAAATGGCTCAAGATTTGTGAACTAAGGGAAATAAATTTGCTAGACAACCAGGGAGTATGACTAATTATAAAGACCTCCAAGCTTGCTGGCAGTTTGAAGAGACTGCCCCAAGGTAGCACAGCCCTATCGATAAACCTGACTAAAGCCCCCCCCCC